AGTCTGGGCGACAGAGTGAGACTCCAACTCAAAACAAACAAACAAACAAACAAAAAAAGAGATCCAAGTCAGGCTCAGTGGCTCAAGCCTGTAATCTCAGCACTTTGGGAGCATGAGGCGAGAGGATTGCCTGAGCTCAGGGGTTCAAGAGCAGCCTGGGCAACTTGGTGAGACCTCTATCTTTACAATAAATATTAAAAAACTAACTGGGTGTGGTGGCACACCACAGCACTTGTCATGGAATTAAAGGCTGCAGTGAGCTCTAATGTTGGAAGTATCGCCTGAGCCCAGCAGGTCAAGGCTGCGGTGGCCGTGACAATGCCACTGGACTCCAGCCTGGGCAGCAGAGTGAGACATCAACTCAAAAAACAAATCCAAACTGGAACTTTTTTCAATCCAGAGATAAACACACGAAGATGCAATTTTGCGCCTTGGAGTTGATCCACATGGGGAATTGAGAGTGACAGCACTGGCTCAGAGACCTTTAATCCCCACCCCCACCCATCCCACCTCGTTCCTTCTCACTCAGACAAAAGCCCAGTGGAGCCTGGGCCCCAGCCAGGACCAAGGGGTGTCATGGAGAATGATGCCACACTACGTCCCCAGCTATCCCCCTCCGCCTGGCCATGGCCTGAAGCCCAGCCCGTGGGCCCCTCCGCCACCTCCCAAGCCCTCTGGGCCTAGTACCTGGATGAATGTGGGTCCGCAGTGGACATGCTCTTGGCCCAGCCTCGACCTCAGCACCGGACACTTCATTATGTAGCGATCACTGCGGTCCAGTCTCGTCACCCCTTTCTGAAATATCCTGATTTCCAGCCTGTAATTTGCTTTCTGGAAGTACAGAAGAATTCATGTGTGCAAATGAAAGAGGAACATACGGTGAACGGGCCACAATTACAGGTGAGTGAGCGTTCACAGCAAACGTGCCAACACAAACCGCCAGGAAGAGGGCTGGGCAGTGAGACCAGGGCCAGCAGCGACACCGAGCCTGGGGCCGGCTTCTGGGTTCTCGTGGCTCCGCCCCCACCAGGAAAGCCCTTGGGGCTGGGGGGGCTATTTGTGGATTTTGGGAAGGTCTGGGAGGACAGAACAAGACCTTGCACCTGGTGCACAGCTTGTCTCCGTTGACGTCTACAGATGTCTCATGAGGTTGGCTTTCTTACTCTCATTTCACAGATAGAGCAGTTGAGGCTTAGAGGAGGTAAGCGACTAGACTAAAGGCATGTGGCTCCTTCTGGGACTAGACGCAAGATTTGGCTCGTTTCAGGACAAGACATCAAATCAATGGGCCATCAGACCCACAGGGACCAACTGGGCTGGCCACATTCAGCCACACAGGAAGTCCCCAAGCCAAAACTTTGGGGTGGGGCCTCGAGGGGTCTGTCAAAGAAGAGGGTGATGACAGAGAGGAAAGGAAAGAGGAGGAGGAGGAGGGTTCCTGAAACCCCTGCCCCCACTACAGACCAGGACCCGCCTCAGGGAGCACTGTGGGCTGAGCCAAGGAGAGGAGGCCAGAGAAATGAAGTGCATGGAGGTGAGGAGAGGACAAGAAAAGGAAAATTGAGCGGCCCCGTGGGGCAGTGTGCCCCCTTTCTGGAACCTGGGAGCAGAAAGTGGCAGCAAGAGTGCCCAGTGCTCCTCACCCTCCTGCCCTCCTAGGAAGCACGCCCCCTGCCTCCCTCTAGCTGGCACAATCCCCCTGCAACCTCAGCTCCCAACCTGCCTTGTCTAGGCAGGGTCCAGGTTGGATGAGGCCTGAAGCTCATGCAATTTGCAAGAGGGCCCCTTAAGAAAATGAATACAGGCCAGGTGCGGTGGTTCGCGCCTTTAATCCCAGCACTTTGGGAGGCCAAGGAAGGAGGATCCCTTGAGCCCAGGAGTTTGAGACCAGTCTGGGCAACATAGTGAGGCCTCGTCTCTACAGAAAAAAATCAGAAAAGCTAGCCGGGCGTGGTGACACATGCCTCTAGTCCCAGCTACTCGGGAGGCCAATGTGGAAAGATCACCTGAGCCCAGGAGTTGGAGGTTGTGGTGAGCTGTGAGCATGCCACTACACTCCAATCTGAGTGACAAAGTGAGACTCCAACTCAAATATATATATATATATGTATTTATAAAATTATCTCACTTTTGCAAATTGTAGTCTTATGGTCTTTTGTGCGCATGAGGGGCCTCGGCAGCTCCTCAGCACCATTTAGTCACTTCATTAAGCACTTATTGAGCATCTACTGTGTGCCCAGGCCCTGGGGCAAGACTGTGGGTGTGGGTCACCCACCAGTGACTCCAAGTCTAGCAGGAGATGGCTGTGTGAGCAGATCACTGTGTGAGCAAATCAGGGTGGCAGGCGCAAGGACAGAAGAAGGTTCACTGCACCAGGGAGTGATTATCAGGAAGACTGCCTGGAGGCAGCGACTCAGAGTTGGGTTAATGCGGCTAGTGGCGTTTTGATACCAGTGAAGGTAGTGCCCTCTGTCCCCTCAGCTCAGCTTCTAGGGAGAAATAACAGTGAGGTGTCTCCTTACTTGATGTCTGCGCTCAAGCCTAATCCCTTACGTCTCCCTAAGAAGAATCCAAACCCACCTCCTTCTGCACAAAGCAGGCTGAGTATTGAGCTCGAAAAATGAAGGCGCCATCCAGGGCCGGATGCAGGAAGTAGCCGCATTTAGCAAGAAATGAATCCAGGGGGTCGGTGGCCCCCCAGGTGCCTAGGATGAGGAAGGACAGAAATGAGAGCTGAGCCTGCTGAGGCCACTTCTCTGGTGAGGTCAGAAAAATCAGACACCCACAGACGGCCTTTTCTGGAAACTCTTACCCAAAGGGGATGAAAAGGGCAGTACTTTACAAGTACTTTAAAAGCCTGGAAGCCAGGCGCGGTGGCTCACACCTGTAACCCCAGCACTTTGGGAGGTGGAGGAAAGAGGATTGCCTGAGCCTAAGGGTTCGACCCTGGCAAGGAATTTAAGACCAGCCTGGGCAACAATATAGTGAGACCCCCTTCCCCACCTTTGAGAGGTGATTCGTGTCTGTCGTCCTAGCTATTCAGGAGGCTGAGCTGGGAGGATCCCTTGAGCCCAGGAGTTTGAGGCTGTAGTGAGCCACGATCGTGCCACTGCACTCCAGTCTGGGGACAGAGTGAGAGCCTGCCTCAAAATAATATAAAGCCTGAACCCGTGGATTGCCCTAGCCCGCGGGTTCGAGACCCGCCTGGGCAACTTGGCGAGACCTCATCTATACAATAAAATCAAAAAAATTAGCCGGGCATGGCAGCGCACGCCTGTAGTTCCAGCTACTTGGAAGGCTGAGGCGGAAGGGTCCCCGGAGCCCAGCAGGTCGAGGCTGCAGTGGCAGGGACCGGCCACTGCACTCCAGTCTGGGGGACAGAGTGAGACTCCAACTCAAAAAATAATAATAATAATAATAGCATAAACATATCTCTCCAGGATCCGCCCATCTGCCCGCTCCGGTCACTGGCCTGGCTTTCCGAGGCCGCCTCCTCTCCCATCTCCTGCCTTTCTCCCTCGTCCCTATTGTCCAGATTCCATGCAGCAGCCAGCAGGATCCTGTTCAAAACCTAGTAGTGTCATGTCCCTCTTCTGTCCCAACCTGTCCATTTTTTACTCAGCGGAAAAGCCAAAGTCCCTCCCCTGCCGCCGTCTTCCTCTCCCACGCCTCTTCACCTCCATCCCTCTGCTGCAGCCATACTGGCCCTTTCCTCTTTCTCAAGCATTCCAGGCACACTCTTGCCTCAGGGACTTTGCACTGGCCGTGCCCTCTGCCTGGAACTCTCTTCTCCTAGGTATATGCAAGGGTCACTCTCCTGCCTCCTCCAAGTCCTCGTGCAGACACCATCTTCTCAATGAAGCCCACCTTGACCACCCTCTTAACACTGCTCTCCACTTCATTTTTTTCTTTTTCTTTCCTTTTTTTTTTTGAGTAGGGATTTCATTGTGTCACCCAGGCTAGAGTTCAGAGGCACAATCACAGCTCATTGCAGCCTCAACCTTCTGGACTCATGGCGCTCCTTCCACCTCAGCCTCCCGAGTGCACTACAGGTGCACACCCCCACGCCTGGCTAGTATTTTAAATTTTTTTGTAGAGATGAAGTCTCATTATGCTGTCCAGGCTGATCTTGAGCTCCTGGCCTAAAGTGATCCTCCCACCTCGGGAGTGCTGGGATTGCAGGTGCTAGCCACCTCATCCCGCCTCCTACTTCCTTTTCTGGGAACTCATTGCCTTTCAACTTCCTGTCTCTTTGACCTCCAGAACCAGAAGAAGAATTCCAAGGGCTCCCCTTGCAGTGCCCAAGATGGAGAGCACAGAGGGAAGTTGGCTATTTGCACATCTCTATTCTCTTGTTCCCTCCAGAAGGTTCCAGAAGATTCTAGGTAATCTAGAAAGGTGGCCCTACCTTTTCCCCACTTTTTCTATTGGCAAGCTTGTATGTTTTGTTTGTCACTGCATTCCTGGAGTCTTGAGCTGTGCCTGGCGCACAGAGGGTTCTCAATTAATGTTTGTGGAATGAACAAAAGATAAGGAGGTCTATCCCTGGGTAGAGGGATTCTGGGCCAGTTTTTTTTTTTTTTTGAGTCTCTCACTCTGTTGCCCAGGCTGGAGTAGAGTGGCACGAACGCTCATGGCCATCGCAGCCTCGACTTGCTGGGCTCAGGTGATCCTTCCGCCTCAGTCTTCCAAGCAGCTAGAACTACAGGTATGAGCCACCATGCCCGGCTAATTTTTTGATTTATTGTAGAGATGAGGTCTCACCAAGTTGCCCAGGCTGGTCTCGAACTCCTGGGCTCAGATAATCCTCTCACCTCGGCCTCCCAAAGTGCTGGGATTATAGACATGAGCCACCACACCTGGCCTCTGGGCCGTTTTTATTATCTCCTTTGGATTTCTGCTGGTTTCCATAATTATTTGTATTGCTTTTGCCATGATTGTTTAAAAAGTGTATTTAAAGGCTCGCAGTTCCATTTTCAAATACTTGACTCCGTTGTGCATTTGACGGGAGATGAATGTGCTACTTCAGAAAACAGCCCCAGCAGCCTGCAGCCAGGGACTCTCTGGTGACTTGCTTTCCTTTCAAAAGCACGCGGCTTCACGGCTATCTTTAGCAAGAGATCAAGGCCGAGCCTCTGGCAGAGGAAGGCTCTGGAAGGTAGATCGCTGGGGAAATAAAGTATCTGAGCTGGGATGTGCAAATTGACCTGGGTCGTTTTAGTTTTGCATTCACGTTTGCACTCTGTAAATATTTGCCTGGCACCCCGCTGCTTACACCTGCTTGCTGTCCCCTCAAGTTTATGGAAGGCAGCAGGCATCGTCATTTCTCCATCCCCACCTGGCACTGCTGCATGAAATGAAAACTCTCCCTCAGAAGCCACAGGTGTCCCTGACAGCGCCTAAAACTAATGGCCTGTGGCTGGCCGCTGTGACTAATTCTCTGATTATTGACTTTATGATTTTACGCTTAAAACTTCTTTATAATAACACACAGAAATGTTTAATGGGCTCTATCCAGAGCCATAAAAATTACTTATTGAACAAGCGTTTTAAAACTATTAATCTATTGTTTTCCATTAATAATGGCTCTCCAAAGAACAGGCGACAGCTTAATGTATCCACGGCATTTCTCCTGGAAAAGTGGCCTTTTAATACACAAATGCCGCTCCTGAGGCGTCTCAGGTTGGCCGGTCATCGGGCAGTGGACCCTCCCAGGACAGATTTAGGCCACACCAGTCCCAGAAGGTGCTGTAAGAATTTCCAGAATGAACAGGATTCCTGGGAGGTTCTCCTAGACTCCGGAAGAGATCAGAAAGCCTCTCTCCTCAATTTCTCTCTTTCTGTGCAAAAGAAAGGAGGAATTCTGAGGGTTTGCCCTGCAACCCTCAAGATGGAGAATGCAGACGCGAGATACTATTTGCACATCTCTCTACTCTTGTTCCCTCCAGAAGGTTCCAGAAGGCTCCCAGTAATCACCTGGAGCCCCCTTTCCCGCTTTTTGTGTTGTCAAGCTCATGGAAGAAAGTCTTTTGAAAGTGGAACTTTAGGTGGGCTCTTCCCCACGAGCGTGCGATGGCTTCCCATCTCAAGTGTGGAAGATTCGCTCCTTAGTCTCACTCCACTTCTTTATCTGGGAGATTTCGGTTTGGGGGCATATCAGCACCTCGTGGGCACGTCCACCAGAGCCTCAGGCCATTTGTTCATTCAACCAGTATTTACTGTGAATCTTTTATCTCGTACTGAGCACCAGACAGTGTCCTCAGCCCTGAAGATCCAGCTATATGCAAGAAACATGCACTGGACCCTGACAGAGCTGCTTCTGACGGAAGAGGGACACAGACGACAAGCATGGGGACAACAGGGGAGCGTCTGAAGCAGTGATGAGTGCTGAGGCTGTGACTGGGGATGGGGGCTCGGGACTACTTTCAAGAGTCAAGATCCATGGGGGAGGTGGCCCTCAGCGGAGACTTGAGTGACAGGAAAGAACTGGTGTGAGAAACAGGAGAAGGGCATTCCAGGCAAGGGACAAGGCGAGGCAAGACCGGGGGCGAGGGACATGTGGGGCCTTTCCCTTAGCAAAGGCCCCATCCAGCCAACAGCTTTCCCTTACCTGGCAAGTGCAGGATTCTGCCCAGCCACTGCCTCAAGCCCTCCACGTGGCTCCTGGGGACCCACAGGGTCATGTAGTCTGAGAAGCACTCAACCTCGTCTGTTAAAAAGGAAGATACTTCTGAGAAGGAATGAAGGAGGGAGGGAAGGAAGGAAAAAAGGAGGGGGAAAGAGAGGGAGGGAGGGAGGATGGACTTCTCTCAGCTCTGAGTCAATTGAATAGTTAGGAAAAGGCACATAGGAGTCATATTGTCTTAATTGAGGCAACCCTGTACTCCACAGAGAGGTCACAGTTCACAGAACATCCAAGAAGAAAGAAACTTTGTGTGAGGTTTCTCCAATTCTAGCGTGCCTACAGATCGTCTGGGCACTCGTTAAAATACAGATTCTGGCCGGGCTTGGTGGCTCAGCCTGTAATCCCGCACCTTGGGAGGCCGAGGTGAGTGGATTGCCTGAGCCCGTGGGTTCGAGACCCGTCTGGGCAACTTGACGAGACCTCA